TTTTATAATATAAGGATATTCCAAGTAAAATGTTTAAAAAATATATATATTTTTTACATTTAAAATATTGGTAATTATATATTTTAAATGTGTTAATATCTGTATATTTGAGATCGATAAATTCTTTACCCGTATAGTTTTAAACTTAAATTTAATTTATTGAAAGAGCGTGTCCATTAATATTATATATTGTATATATAAATATAATAAAAAATATAAATATTTTTTTATATGTTACATAATACTGTGTGATCAAAAATAGTTCATCTTTGATTAAGAGAAAATATTTTTAAAATATTTCCAAGTATAATTTATTTGTATATAATTAAATTATTTTTATTTATTTTTTATTATAATTAAATTATTTTTATTTTTATTTTTTGAAAGAAATAATATTTGAAATATCAAATTTTATTATAATTATTATTTTATTTTTATTTTATATATGTAATAAATAATACTTTAAATATTTAATTGACGGTGTTCAAGTCTATTTTATTAGTCTAAATAATACATAAATTGTCAATTTATAATATTTAATTGTCATGCCTTTCGGGACTCTATTAGCCTATGGATCCACCACAGCTTCCTCTGCCGCAACAGAAAATCAATCGAATTTGATTTGTCATCCCATTGAGCCTAATTGTGGATTATGCAACTGCAATGCGCGAATACAATGGAGAGCTGAGCACGTGCAGCCGCTCAGTCGGTTAGTCGAGCGGGAGCAAAGTCTTCAGTTGATGCAGCCGCAATGTTTGGCAACTCTTGAAATGCATCGCGTATCTGGTTTGCAGCATCTGCGCAATACTTCGTTTTGTTTTGTTTTGTTTTGTTTTGTTTTGTTGGCGATTATTATTATTAGTTTTATGTATTTGCCGATTCGCAGTTGGCTGTTTCTAGAGTCGTGGTCAGACGAGTGTCAGAGTTCAATCAAATGAATGGCACCCACAACATTTAATGTCTTTGATGGTTTTATTAGCCGAATGCCGACAGACACGGGCCAGCAGATACATATATACATATCTATAAGCGACTGCCTATTCGAATACTTATTTGATCACTCGTACTCGTATCTCTCTATTCCACTGACTCATTAGCCATTGTTGTGTTGATGAAGTTGTTTGGGCATTGTTTTTCCATTATTCGATTTTGAGTTTGGCCAGCCGGCTGGTGATTTCAGCGGCTGATTACTGATATTTGCAGCCAGACTATTTTATTTTTATTACAAATATTATTTTCCTAGCATGCAATTTGCGAGAAGAGGAAAAAAGTTCAAGGTTCCGAAATTAAAAAGTAGCGCAGCCAGCCAAACTAGTCAATGGCGATAATGCTGATGCTGATGCTGCTGCTGATGATGATGTTGATGATGATAATGATAATGGTAATGGCAGAGAGCTCCACTCAAGGTTAGAAAATATCCTGAGGCTCATGCTTAAATCGCTGGGCGGAGTAGCCAACAAAAAGCAGTTAAATTTTACTTCTTTATCAAATCAGAATTTGTTCTATGAGTTAGAATTGATAAGTAGATAAATATAATGTGGATAATAATTGTATTATATTATGAAATTTATTTTATTATGATTATTCTTTGTTTAGTAAAATTTAATATGATTTTTTCTTCTGCAAATTCGTAAGAAAATATATTATTATTCAACAATTTTATATAAAATATTTTTATTTACTTTTAGATTAGATTTTACTTTGCTCCTATGAATACATTAATTTATTTATATCTATTATTAAATTTCACATTTATTTATATTATTCCAAAATTTAATGACTTTTTCTAGTCCATTAATTTACTTCCATAATTTCTTCATTAACCTTTCAGTTTTCTATCATTCCTCAAAATAAGTTTTTTCCTAGTCAAATTTCTCTCTTTTTTTCGTGTGGCTCATTTGTTGCTGGTGAGCCTTGTCTCTTGCAACTCCCCACGCAGACTCACAGCCCCCATACGATTGCCCAGATTCTCCCCTCTTGCCGCTTCGGGCATACATATATTATTAGCTTGGCCCTGGCAATGATCGCTGGCAACAAGTGTTACGCCCAGCCAGATGACAATAGCTTTCAAATGTTTCTAATTAAAAAACGACGAAGAGACAAGGAAGGGAGAGACTGCAGGCAAAGGTACAACAAGACCTGTACTATATATAGAAGATGCATTATCTATATATACAGATGTATGTATGTGTGTGTGTATGTGTAAGACAACTACAGCTGCCTCTTAACTCGCCGCGCAGTGTAATGTGACCGACAGCAACAACAACTACAACAAATAACATTGAAAACAACATGAGAGCCCGCATAAAGCGAGCGTGTCGAGCCAATGGGACGCTAATCATAAGCATTTGGCGATGATTTAGTGTCGCCAGCCTGCTAGACACGTGTGTGTGTGTGTGTGTCTACCTCTCTCTCGCACTCGCTCTCTGAATATGTGTAGGTGGGCATGTGTGGAGCCATTGTCGCAAAATGCAATCAAGCGGCCTCAACGTGGTGTGTCGGCATCCTTTTAAGCTGATTTTTCACACGCCGCACGTTGTTGTTTATGCGACGTCAAAGTCTCCTCCACTGAGCCACACACAACTCACAAAGTGATTACCGATTACTGGAGCCCAACCACCCCCAGTGCACGTGTGTGGAGCTTTGTCAGTTTTTTTTATTTGGGGCCCTGCCCGAGTAACTGGCAGTCAACAGGCGCGTCATTAATTAACGTCCTGCAGCCCCGTGAGCCGAGTTGAGCATTTAATGCTATTTGCTTTAGACGGCGCCGTCGCACCACAGCAATGCACCCACCCAATCAGACAGGCAGCAGATAGACCACCCTTTGCCCACTCTCACTCTCACTCTCACTCTTCATTTCGCTCTCCCTTTCAATTGTTGTTTTTCAATTTCAAATTGCTCGCTCACTTGGCGCACTTTGACTCAATATATGTATACCCTGTAATTACCCTTGCACTTTCCAGCGCTTTTCACTGCCTAATTGCGTCACCCTTTCCCTGCGCCTGGGCCCTAACCCTACCCCTATTAGTAGTACAGCGACTATTTATTACTTCCATTTGGCTGCCAGCGGGTTTATTAGTGCCCCACTCCAGCCACTTGCCGCACTCACGCCACATTTGGCTGCTGTTTGTTGATTTTGGCAACTTTATTGACGCTTAACACGTTGCGCGTCTCGCCCGAAGGGCCACAACAACAGCCCTCGACAAGGCTCTTACATAAATGAGCTAACAACAACAGATGTTTGCATCGTTATTTTATTATGTTTGTTAATATGCTTTGTGTCCTTCAATAGCTGAACAGAGCACATTGCTCACTAATTTTTAGATTCATAAGAGACTTTAAATAAATAAAAAAAAATATTTCTGTTGAGCATTTGTTATAGAAACTAATTGTAATGCTGTAATAACAGCTGGGCTGAAAAGTTTGTAAGGATTATTTAAATTTCTTGAAAGATTGTTGCATAATAAGCAAAAGTCTATGCAAAACTTAAAACATAAGGAAATTAATTTATAAATTATGTTCAAAACTTTACACAGAAAATTGAGTATATCAATATTTATTTTTCATTTAATTAGATTTAATTTTAACAAATTTTTTTTCTTAGACTTTTTCTGATCAAAACTTTTATTTTGATTATATTATATCATTAACTTAAATGATTGTTTATTCCATATTTTTTCTTTATTTATTTGTTGCATAACACACTAAGCTTAAGGGAATATTTTCAATTTAATTGTTCACTCTTTATTCTCTATTGAATTCTCACGTCAAAGCTTTTGCCCAGCTTAAATTAATCTCAGTCACTTTATGACTCTATCTTCAACATGAAATTATTCTGCCTATTGATAGATCTTAGATATGTTCTTCAAGCTTGAAGTTATCCTCTCTCCATGCACAAGCGCATCTCAGAAATCAATTTCGACTTCGTGTGATCCAATATATAGATATTTTGGGAATGCGCTTATGCTCAGCCCGAAATGAATGTCATGTTTGACGTGCGGCTTATGGCCATCGCCGGGTTTTATTCATATATGTTTTGTTATGTTTTGTTGGCTGCAAACATACCGATGATGGGCCGTAATCGCCGAAATTGGCTTAGTTGCACATAAAACTTAGTCCAGCGCCCCAGCCAGTCGGCCGGTGCACATACATAATAAAACAATAAAAACAACTTTTACGATTGCTGCCGGATTCTTGGGGCTGCGCTCGAGAAACGTATTCAAGTGCAATAAATGTTGCACGCAGCAATCCGTCAATAGGCAGCGGGCTCATTCTCGCCGCCACTGCCGCCCCTCTCCAGCTGAAGGTGACAAAGCCCCCAAAGATGAGACGCATATAAAAATCAAAGTCAGATGTCGGCGATTTGATGGCATTTGGAAGAAATCAATTTAATCGCATTTAATGCCAAACGATAATGCCAATGCCTTCTGCATCAGATCAGCTACCTCCCGCTCCCTGCCCATCTCCCCGCCTATCGCTGTCTCTTTCAGCGTTGATATAAAAATTTCAATAATTTTCTACGGCCAGCCCAAAAATACTCGCAATGTGTGTCAGAAAATGGGGAGCGAGTTAAGTGCGACGCCCAGGGAATTGATACAACATTGTTTTTGCTCTTGTTCTGAGCGTGTTCTTGTTGTTGTCGTTGTTGCTATTGTCAATGGGGCGACACCTTGCCCAGCAGCAGCTCCAACTCAAGCATTAGTATGTCTAACCCATTCGATAGCAGATATTCACTAATTAGTTGTTGCCTGCCAGATATTTATGCGTCGTTGGTGTCACTTGGCACATAAAGCGCCCAGAAAAGGGGGGAGCACTTCTGGAGCGAGAGGGGGCGCACCGGGGCTGTGGGCCGTTGCAGCTGCGTGTGATAAAAAGGCCCAAAATTAGGCAAAAGGCGTGTAAAGTGCACACTGGAACGATTAACGGCCTACATTAGTCGGGCGGCCTGATTAATATAGGGAATTAAATGGCACTGCATTCGGTCTGGCGATGCGATCGTTCCTCAATGCACTCGACTCGTGCGTGTTCAATAGGAGAGCCGAGCTAAATGCGTACACAATTTTCAAATGCAATTCGATGTCAAATTGAGTGAAATTTCAGTTCTCAGAAGACGAGAGAGAAAGGGAGAGGAGCTAGTATATGATGTGAGCAGAAGTTAGAGAACATGAGGTTATTTCTATATTATGTAGTCATTATATTCAGTCTGCTCCCGATACTTGTTGGGCTCTGTTTGTCCTCTAGATATCTGGTGGCACGCCCCATCTCTAGTTTGGTTAGTTGGTTTTTGGCTGTGTGCACTGATAATATGAAAATGAGACTCCGCTGGCAACGGAACTAAGGGAAAACTCAGCAGGCAAAGGCAAAGCGAAGACGTGAACGCAAATGGAAACGCAAACGCGACGTTGCCTCGCCTGATCGCCTCAATGTATCACGATGGATTTATAGTTTAGTATGCACGATCAATCAAAAATCGTGAAGAGAACGAGACAGAGAGCAAACGAGAGAGGGAGAACTCTTTGGCAGCAGCAGCAGCAACTGCAGCAGCAGGAGCAGCAGCAGCAGCAGAAACGTCTAACAGTAAACGATACGCGGGGCATATTAAAAGAAAGTCGACGTCTCGACTTCCACTTGGAACTGAGTTTGAAGCGTTGCCAATAAGAATTATTACACCTGATTGGAATCTGCAGCCGCAGCAACAGAAATGAACTTGACCAGAAAGCAACAGCAACAACAACAACAACAACAGCATGGCAAGAGCAACGCCCACGTACTTGTGGGTGGGTTGCCGTCGTCATCTCTAAGAAATTCAGAATTCAGAATCCGAATACCTCCAACCCCGCCAAGCATCTGCTCACTGCATTTATTAACATTTTGACTTTGTGACCAATATACATGGCCGAGCCGTGGCAGGAGAAGGACGCGGCAGGAGAAGGCGGGCAGGTTGCAGACAGCAGCTTTTGGCCTGGTAGGCGTACTTAATCGATCGCTTGTTGATAGGCAAATTGGCAAAATGCAAAATGCGAAAAGCAAAAAGAGAAATATAGGAAAGAAAGCAAAAAAAAATACAAACAGGAAAACCTGTTTCAGTTTTCGGCAGAGCTTTTCTAACGAACTACTCCCTCAGCGCCTGCTGCTGCTGCTGGAAAATTCGTGATGCGCCACGGCAAAGGCAACAAACGAAATACAAAAACATTCATTTGGCCCAACTTTGGTTTAGTTCTTGCGGTCCTCGTCGTCCACTGTGCGATCTTTATCGCAGAGCCAAGAAATTTTTAGGGCTCCATTCCACGTCCCGCCAGTCATTTACATTTGGCTCAAATGGGAATTTGCGGCTCGAAGTTGGGAGTTTGCGCTTGTTTTTGCCTTCTCTATTTTTTTCGGGGATTTGGCGACCGCCGCCATCGTCGACATCGTCTGACAGTTGGAGCATTGCAAAGTGATCGTTAAATCACGAATATTTAATTGTCTTCATCACCTGAGGGTGGTTGAAATTAGTTTGGACTTGGCTCGAAACATTTACCTCTTGTTGTCCGTTTGCCAGTTGCTCCATTTGCCAGTGTCTTTAGTTCTGCCCTGCTGCCTGGACTCTCCACGTAATGGCTTGTAATGGCTTCAACTTTCAGATGGGGCCATTTAACTCCGTCTAGCGTCAGGGCTCTGGCCCAAGCCAAATCTTGTTCAGGTCTCTAGCCTCGAATTGCATGCATAGATTTGGCCTCTAATGAGCGCTCAGCCAGCGACGTTAAGTGCTAATTTTATGGCCATTGATTGCAAATCGAGCTAAGGTCAAGGGATGCCCGAGCAGCGCAACGGAGCGCTGCCAATGCCGACGAGTGATTGATTAACCAATGGACAGTTAAGCTAAGCTAAGCTCAAGCCTTTAAATGCATTGCAGAGGCAGTGAAATTTTAAAATAATGGGCTATAGAGCTGATATTTGTGGGGATATTTGAAGAATATATATATTTAATGGAAATAACTCTTTGTTGAACTTTAAGTAAATCATACCAGCATGAGTTTAGAAATGGAAATGAAGATATATTCAAATAGACAATCTCGAATTCCCATAATTTGTCGATTCACATGCTCGCATATCCTGTGAGCACTTAAATCACACTTCCGCTTACTCCGTACATAGTTCCCAGTCAGCCAGAGTCGATTTATTTCCCATGTTGTGATCACACCTTTAGCGCCTCATCCATTACAAATTGCTCATAAATGGATACGCAAGAACAGTTCAATAAACTTCCCACGCGGAGCGTAAAATGATTTGTGCCTCGCATTGCACTTCACTTACAAACTGTTCAAATAGAGGCAGTAAGACAATTAAGAAAGCCAAGTGTCATTAGTGTTTGACCCCTCGCCGTTGGGTCGAGAATCGGGCAGTGACTAAACAGTTATCAATTATTACGAGTCGTAGTCGTCGCTGCTGAATGTCAACAATTGGAAATTGTATTTGGCTTGCGGGTTGACTGCCGAATGCAAACAACAATATAGAGATGGATAGATCATCTAATGGGTTCCCACACACATACACACACACACACAGGGACGAGGTCACAGGAAGCAGAGGCTATGCATCATTGCACATGTTTCACATGCTCTCGGCCAGGGTGAGCTGCTCGCTGACATTTAACATATTGCAGCACAAAGATTCCCACAATTGTCAAATCACAATCGCAGGGGGTGGGGCGGGTGGCGAAACTCGCGCTGATTGGAAGCCACCCAAATTGCTACCAGCAAAAATTAAATTAGGCCAAATTAAATGGCAAGTCTGATAGAAGCGCGAGGGTTGATTCATTAACGAGCGACAAACGCCTGCCTGATGATGTTATTTCTACTTGTCGACGTCACAGCAGTCGCATAATTTGCTGGCTGGCCACACTGGTCGAAAGTCAACGAGCGGGCGGACTGAGAGGACTGAGAGGGTTGCAAGTTGCACGCGTCATGGCTGCCTGCACACCCTCGGCGACCTGACCCTTGCCACTCCAATACACACAGAGCACATGCATAGTTGACATACGCTTTGAGCGGCATTCAATTCTTAATATGCGACACGTGACCCACACTTTGCACGTTCGCTGCGCCGCCACCTTCCTGCGTGCGTGCAGTGCACCCGGCTGGACTGCAGGTCCTGCTCAGCTCGTCTGCTTTCCGGCTTGACTTGTTGTTCTCTGACACGCGTTCCCTATCGCCTGGCTGCCATCTCCAAATGTTTAGCTCTTCTTCTTCTTCTTCTTCATTGTGGGCTGACCAGCGCCACGCGTTGTGCGATTGCATGTGATGTGGGTGTGGTGTGTGCCTGTTAGGGGTGCGGGTGTGTGTGTGTGTGTGAGTGTGTGTATATATGGTGGCGTCATGTGGCCAACTGGGGTTGATATGCTGATCTTTCATACGAACACTTCATGCTTTTTACTGCTGATTTATCGTAGCATTTTCTCGATATCTTTTGTCATTTTGTCCTTTGTCACCATGCGGCTCTCTACGTGATACTCATTGAACTTATTTGGGAAGGCCGAAAAGCTAAACTGAAGTATGATATACAAAATGTGATAAATAATTTACACATGCAGTTGAACTAGGACTTGGCTCATCCCACTGTCCCTGAATATGCGCGCCTCTCTACGTGCTTCTCATAAATTTCTCACTGTGCTCGCAGCAATTGCAGCACTTTATTGACCCGATTGACCCACAGCACGAAGCACTTATTACCGCGGGCAGTCCGCAAAATTATCACAGCCACAAGTACAAGCGGGCAGGGATAATGTTTCCACATTATTTGACCAAATTTGCCCAACAAGTCCAAGTTGAAGGCGTCGTGAGCGGATTTGTTTTCAGTTTCTTTTTCTTTTCTTTACGTACAATTTTCTACACGTTTCTTATGGTTTTTCTTGTTTTTTTTTTTTTTTTTCTATAGCTCTGCAGATCGGGCGGCGAAAATTGCTAAACAAATTAAGTGATTTGCTATTGACATTTCCGCGAGCCTTGAATGGCGCACGCGCGTGAATAATGAAGTGCCAAGATCGCTTACAATCCACAGCAAAAGAGACCAAGAGAGAGAGAGAGATCAAGACAGACAGAGAGATCGAGAGAGAGAGAGAGAGCGAAGTCGTCAAGTCGTGAAATTGATCTTCTAGTGCAGCGGTCATTTTCACACAATTCACATTGACCCCGCGCACTGGGCCTGACCCTGGTTAAGGCTGGGCCTTCGCTCCACACAGCCTCGGCGGAGCTCAGGTTCACAGTTATGGCCACAGAATAGTTGCAGTTGGGGCCGACAATCGATTTTAATTTGTTTAACTTGTGCATCAATTTCAGTGCTTGTTTGTGCAGCATCCTCCTCTGGCCAGCTGCTGCTCCTGGCCCCCTTCCCCCTCCACCCACCCCACTCGACTGCAGCCTGCCTTTGTGCATAAATTACTGACACTTGTCTCCATTAAAAATGAAGGTGATTCAACTGTCATTCGCAGCATCAGACCTGGCTCTGACTGTGACTTCGTCTTTCGACTTGTAGCTGGACAGTTGTTGTTGTTGTTGTTGCTGCTGGTATGGCAGTCACGGCTCGCTTTTCACTTGGAATTGGACATGGATGTGGTTGCTGGAACTGGAATGATGACGGCCTATTGCGAATCCAATGAACATCAATCGCTGGCAATTTTCTTGTAATTGTGCGATGTTGTTGTTCACTGATTGTTGTTGCTATTGAAGAGCAATTGACAAGCCGATCAGCCCGTTCTGTGAGCACATTTTAATGGCCATGTGCCGCACGGTGAATCATGTTTCGAATTGACTCTAACCGAAGCCAACAACAGACAACAACAGCTGGCATAAGCTAAATAATCTAAATTAAAAGTTTTGTTTTATTCCAATGGAATTTTGCAATTAATTGTATGAATATGCTAGAGTAATACCTTGTTTGTAAATAATGCAGGTGATATAATATTTAATTTATTTTCGTTTATATACTCTTAAAGGTTGTTTAATAAGGAATAAGAGTTTTGATCGATTGTT